TCATTTGATATTCATTTTAATTGCAATGACTATAATGAATATACTTTGTATTCAAACAGATGTCACAAGTACTACTACAGAAGTTTCAATATAATTCAGTCTTAGTTAAGAACGAGTAAATGAATATTTAAAATTGAATGTTATCAGGAAGGGGAAAAAAACAATTACAGTAAACATTAGCTCCTTAAAACAGGAAATTAAAGATTTTTATTAAACTGTGTTCTGTCTTATTTGGACATGCGCAGAATATAATAATACAGGGAACTTGCCATGGCAACCCCTCCTTTTCCTTGCATCTGCTCTTCTACAGATTAGCTAGCCTGGAAAACAGAAATTAGGTGTGTGGAAAATGACTCAGAGGGTTAGGCTGAAATTCACTTTACAATATTTAGGGACTCTTTTGTCAAGAGGATTAAAACCACTATCACACCGATTTATTTTAGCTGAAGGTAATTACGCATGCCATTTTATTTCAGTAAGTCCAATAAATCCTCATCTTCCTTTTAATCTTCTCCCATGTGAAGGGCTGGCTCCTTAAATTCTGACGTGAGAGACCTTCACACCCAAAATTAAAGACAGTGATTCTCAATGTATGGTTTACAGAATTACCTCCGGATGTTTGTCAAAAGCAAACATTCCTGGGCCCCAGCCAAGTTCCTTTATTTATTTATTTTTTTGGTGGCTGGCTGGTGCAGGGATCCGAACCCATGACCTGATGTTTGTCAAAAGCAAACATTCCTGGGCCCCAGCCAAGTTCCTTTATTTATTTATTTTTTCGGTGGCTGGCTGGTGCAGGGATCCGAATCCATGACCTTGGGGTTATATGGCTGGTGCAGGGATCCGAACCCATGACCTTGGCTGTGCGTTAACCAACCGAGCAACTGGCCAGTCCTTTTATTTATTTATTTGCCTTTTGGCAAATTTTAATTTATTTTTTATTTTTTTGGCAGCTGGCTGGTATGGGATCTGAACCCCTGACCTTGGTGTTATAAGGCTGCATTCTAACCAAATGAGCTAACTGGCCAACCTTCTAGCTAAATTCTGTCAAAGCCTGGGAGTAGGGTCATGGAGTCAGCATTTGGACAAGTAACTCGAAAATCCTGATGCACTCTCCTGCTAAAAACCAACTTCCTGAAGGTTGGATAAGGTGATATTTAAAGTTATATATTTTATACAAATCAATAAGTATTCAAGCATTTATTAGTACAGACCCTATGTGAATGAAAGATTTGATATATATAGGGTAATTCAAAAAGTCAAGAAGCATGTGATTAAGCTTATTTTCAAAGTACAATGTATTAAGTACAATAAGGATTGACAACGTCTGGAAGCACAAAGAAAATAGTGCATTTACTGTGCAGATTAAAATTCCACTCTTTGTATTAGTTTGTTTTTGTGTTGTTACAACAGAGTAGCTGAGACTGGGTAACTTATAAAGAAAAGCGGTTTATTTGGCTTGTGATTCTGGGACAGCTGCATCTGGCCTGGGCCTCAGGCTGCTTCTACTCATGGTGGAAAGTGGCAGGCAGCTGGCGGGTGCAAGATCACATGGCGAGAGGAAGCACGACAGGCAAGACAGACGGAGGGAGGCGGGAGGTGCTAGGGTCCTTTAAACAACCAGCTCTGGTGGGAATTAATACAGCAAGAACTCACTCACTAGCCTTCCCCACCCAGGGCTTTAATCTACTCATGAGGGATCCATCCCTATGACCCAAACTTCTCCCAACATCGCCAAGTTGGGGATCAGATTTTGACCTGAGCTTTGGGGGGGACAATACTTCCAAACTCCACCATTCTTGATTTCAATTTAGCACTTCTTCCTCTAAAAAGGGTGTCTGCAGGTTGAAGAGAAGTGTGTTTATTTCATTATTAGAAAGTATAACTAACATATTGTTTAAAAATAAGTTTATCCCATTTTACCTGATGTTTTCTACATTCTACGCTTTGAAAAGGAGGGTAATAAGTGAATGAGGCTTCTTGGTGTCAGAGAGGAAAAAACCAGGAGTATAAATGACAGAAAAGAAAGGAGCTAAACTGTAAGATCAGGAGCACTAAAGACAAACTATCTTTCTCACCTCCAGTCTAATTCCCCTGGTACCTAAACTATAAGTTAACTTACTTGGAAGCCATATTGTGTTTTTGAACCACCAGAGCAAAATTCTTAAAGTGAAAGTTGACTTGGGAGTGTCATAGAAGAAAGAAATAAAATAAAGAAAATAAAGCAGAGGGTACCCAGTTTTTTTCTGGTCAGCAATTTCCCCCCACCTTTACCCCCACTCCAGGACTGATGCCTAATTAACTAAAATCTGTGAAAAGAACTGTAGTAAGGAGCATTCCCTCAGGACCCAAAGTGAAGACAAGATGTTGAAATTCATCAACGGTTCCCATTGTCCTTGGTTTTATAGTTCTTGTTTGACTTATCCTAGCGCTAATAACAGGATCCAATAAAACAAATAAGTATATAAATAAGCTATAAGAAGTGAAGTGAAGATGAAGAGAAAAAGCAATTGGTCTGTAGGGACTTAAAGGTTTTCCATTGTCCATAGAAGTGGTTTTTAAAGAGCAGTTGCTAAACAGAAACATCAGCATCACCTGGAAACTCATTGTATTTTGCTCAGGCTGCCATTAAAAATTAAATGACAGAAATTTATATTTTCACAGTTCTGGGAAGTCCAAGTCAGAGTGCTGGTTAATTTGTTTTTTGGTGAGGTCTCTTTTCTTGGCTTGTGGATGGCCACCTTCTTGCTGAGTCCTCACATGGTGCAGAGAGAAAAAGAGCTTGCTTGCTTTCTTTTTAGAAGGACACTAATCCTATCCGATTGGGACCCCACCATTATGACCTTATTTAACCTTAATTACTTCCTAAAATACCTGCCTTTATATACAGCCACACTGGGGGCTAGTGCTTCAATATATGAATTTTGGAGCGACACAATTCAGTCCATAGCCCTCATTACAAATGCAAATTCTCAAGCCACAGTTCAAACCTATTGAATAAGAAGCTCAGGGAATGGGGGCCCAGCAATTTGTGTTTTATTCATCTCTCTGGGTTATTCTAATGCACATTAAAGTCTGAGAAGCACCGGACTGCAGGATAATGTCCCAAATCCACAGCACAACATTTACTTTCCTCCCCAGTCTGTTCTCTCTTATTTTTCACCTTTATTTCTTACTGCTCTTCAGCATGAACTCTATCCTTTTGCCTAACAACTTCTCATCATGACCTGAATGATTTCATATTCTATCTTCTAAACCAATATTTATTCTGTTACCAACCAGGAACTGTCTTTCTGCCACTTTAATTAAGCATTACCTCAACATTCCAGACACAGTCACCTTTTCTTCCTCCAAACAACAGAAGCACTAATTGTCTGAACTGATCATTTTTATATTTTGCAGATTTTACTTTCTTAGAGTTCATTGGATATGCTGTCTGTAATTCTAGTACAAGGCTTTGCACATAGAAAGAACACAAATCTTGACAATTTGTATGCTATTTTGCTTAAACCTCTATAAGCTGCAACAACTGCTGCAATTCAATACTGATTTAGGGCATCAAACAGTCCATTGGTCCCTGACATAGCACAATGTCACTTCCAAAGGTGCTTAATATTTTTTTTAAAAAACGATATGCTATCTGCTACTTAGCAGAACCAATAAGTGCTCAGTATATTACCTCATTAAATTCTCACAATTATAATGCTTGAAATAGGCAATACATAGGCATTATTAATAGGCTTGACAGAAAAAGACACTGTTCTTAGTACCAACAGATCAGTTGTACACCTTGGTGACTATAGTTAGTAACAATGTAACAATTATAATGCTTGAAATAGGCAATACATAGGCATTATTAATAGGCTTGACAGAAAAAGATACTGGAAACAGAAAAAGACACTGTTCTTAGTACCAACAGATCAGTTGTACACCTTGGTGACTATAGTTAGTAACAATGTCTTACATTATTGAAAATTGCTAAGAGGAGATTTTAACTTGTTCTCACTACAAAAAATGGTAAGCATATGCGATGATACATATTTTAATTAGCCCGATTTAGCCATTCCACAATGTATACATATTTCAAAACATATCATACACGATAATATATACAGTTTTTATTTGTCACTTAACATAAATAAATTTTAGAAAAGAGTTCAATTAATTCTTCCAAGTCATATACCCGGGAAGTGACAAGTGTATAAATGATTAGCCTGCCCTTCTTTCTTTGACTCAAAGCACATGTTTATTTCCACCATGTTATATTACAGACCGAGGTATGTAGTTTTCTGTCAACATCTTGAATTTACTGCCAAGACTCCCAGACCATATGGGTCTTTCTTACAGTAAAGTTATTTCCAGTACATCCTTTGGAATTTCTCTATTCTTTATATCCCAACACAACACAGTCTTGTACATGCACATGCATTGCGGGCATACACACATACACACACACATCCCTATGCCTAAAGCATTGCTAAAAGTAGGCCATCACAAAAAAAAAAAAAAAAAAAAAAATTGTAGGCTGAGCTTCTTGAGACAGAAACTGTTTAATTACTATAGACAACAAAGTGCTCTAAATTCTAGTGTTATTCTGTATACTACTTACCTGCAGTCAGCCTTAAGAATCCACCTGGAGAATTCAAAGGGAATTACTTGAAAGTTCACAAGGAGCTCTGATAAACTTTTGCCCAAAGCAACTACTGATAATTAAGCTCCAGGAATGCACACACACACATATATGTATATAAAGTGGAAAAATTTGTAAGTTTAAAAACAATGGAATTTTCTTTTAAAAAAAGTCATACTTTTAAAGCTTCATTCCCCAGAAAACAAAGTGATTCTATTTTTTTACTTATTTACAGCTGCCTGCACATTGAAGACTGGACTGTAAGATAATAAACCACACCTGTTGGATTGTTTAGGTGATTCCAAGCACCCGCTGAGATAGTAATTAAAAGTAACATTCCATTCTCAGCCTACCTGGGGTGTTCAACAACCTAGACATCTTGCAGAAATAGGAGACATACTGCTCGCAGTACTCCGCGCTGCTGGTGATGGCGCTGATCTGGTCCATGGAGGCACTGTAAACCAGCTGAGTCACCGAGTATTTTTCTGGGTTGTGGCCGACCACAGTTGTCTGCATCTGCAAGTCATGAGACACAATGGTCCACACTTTGTCCTCTGTGGGAGAAAAAATGACCAGGAGAATGGGTCATTAGTATGCAAATGATTCTTCAAATGTCAGGAAATAATTGAGCTACACTTGAATTGGTATTTTCACTGAACTGGTGTAGAACAGAATCAAGGATCACAGTCCTTAAAATAACTCCTGCTCTTCTCTCATGCCTAACTTGTGCTTATAAGGACAAAGTAGAAAAGTACATTTTTATTAAAAACAAATTCAAGATACTTCCTGAAAACGAAACAGAAAAAGTAGGTCATGTATCTGGTAGGTGCTCTGATGTCTGCTACATGGAATGTGAGGTCCATCATGTGGTGACTCCTTCCTGACTTTATAACCCATCCTTCCTCCAGTAGAACAGAATTTGCTCTTTGCTAAATGAAACATGCTCTCTCAAGCCTCTGGGTCTTCCTACATGCTGTTAGTTCTAACCAGAATATGCATCCTCATCTTGTCAACAAATGTTCTTTCCACCCTGACCTTTCAGGCAAAATTAGACTCTGTGTTCTCTGCTATTGAAATGCTCTATACATGTGGAATAAAGCAGGTGAGTAATTATCTTGGTGTTTTGGACCCTGAACAATTCAGTGTGCAAAAGAAGCAGCAGATATAAGGTATATAAGGTTAAATAAAAGCTCTCTACACATTTGAATTTTAATCAGAAGCATCACTATGAATCTAAGATAATGTTACCTTTAAAAAATATGTGGACATATGCCTTAACTCTGTACCCTGAAAAAACTCCACAACAAGGACCAACCACTAACACCAGATTTTCATCACTAAGCACCATTTTCTGTTAAAAAAAATTAAAGATATAACTAATTCCAAGGCTGGAAATATACAAGATGAAGAATGAGCCAGGAACATATGAAACTAGAAACAAATTAAGCTATTGGAGACTGAAGGCAGTTCAGAAACCCCCAGTGCCAAAGGAGTGAGAATTTCCTTCAATGGATTAAAACACATTAAGTATATTTAATCTATGAGTTTATTAAAATTTTAAAAAAATGTTTGATTTTGGAACATGTTACATATCCCAGCTCATTATTTTGAATATTGGTGAATAAAGGTGAAGAATTAAGCATTTATTCTATGTTTCCTGCATGAACTGTAACTAAATATTCTCTTTGTGGAAATATTCAGCTTATAAAAAAAAACTGAATGATGGACTTAAAGAATAACTCCTAACACGTTAGCAGGATTTAAGCAACGATCATCAATGGCTGCTAATATAACCAAAAGTAAAATCAGAGATGATGTGTCTCAAGGTGGAAGTACACAACCAACGTTCCATGTAACTTTGCATGTAAAGTGTTGACCAAAATCAAGCATGAATTTGACCAAGCATATAGATCTAACTGCTGATTTCCAAGAAATATAGGGGAGAAGGACCATGTTCAATGACAACAAGAGGAAACAATCCATGAAATCCAGGCTGTGGCAAACTCTAGAGCTCAATCTAGATTTTTTTCAACTAATAAATTGCAAAGGAAGAGGGTGGGGGAGGGATGGGGGTGGGGGGAGAAAGAGACAGAGGGAGAGCTGTAGATTCAAAGAGCCTTCCTCAGCATCCCTCATGCAGTCTTCCTTATTTCTGTAAATGGCACCTCCATTCTTCCAGCTGCTCAGGACAAAAACCCTGGATTCACTGTTAACTCCTTTCTTTCTTCTACAGGCATCATCCAACCTTGCAGACAGTCCTGTCTGCTCTACCTTCAGTACATGAGCATATTCAGAATCAGAGCACTCCTTCCCCCCAGGCCCACCCCCACTACTCCAGTCAAAGCCACCACCGTGGCTCGCACCAAGACCCCTCTGCTTCCCACCCTTGTGTCCTCACATCTACTCTCAAGACAGCAGCCAGGGTGAGCCTTTTCAGATAGAAGTTGGAATCTGACACTTCGCATGGCAGCAGGTCTTGCTCAGAGTAAAGGCCAAGTCCTTGCAACAGCTGTGGTCCCCTCATGCTCGGCTCCTCCTGGCTCTGCCCTCACACCCCATGACTCTCCTCTTGCTCACCTGCCTCCTGACCTCCTTGCATTTCTCAAACCCATCGGGAGGCTCCCTCCTCGGAGCCTCTGCACCTGCCCTCCACTCCATTTCCTCTGGGCCCCTCCTCCTGCTCCTCCAGACCTCGGCCCCAATGCCAGCACCTCCTGCACTGTGTCCTGTTGTGGCTGCTCTCTACCTCTCTGTCCTGCTTGATTTTTCTCCCTAGCATTCATCTCCATCTGACTTGGGCATATGGTAATTCTTTTTTTTTTTTTAAATGTTTGTCTCCCCACAATAAAAGGTAAGAAGGCAGGGATTGCACAGTAATGGACACATAATAGGCCTTCCAAAAAATTAGTTGAGTAGAAAAATGAATTGAGCAAAAATACTTGATCTAGAAACTGCTTACAATGATTTCCGTTCCAGTCCTGGCTCTGGAAGACTCAGTAAGTCACTTCCCTCTCTAAGCTCTAATTTCCCTTCATCTAGAACAACATGCTTCTCTACTAGAATACTTGCCAGTTAGCTCTTCTTGATTCAATTAAAACAAGTCTAGTTATGGCCCACTATCATAATATATTTTCTACAGGACAATTATTTTTCCAGTTTTCCTTTAGCCAGTTGGAAGTGCCTTCCTTTCGTTGCTCTGACACAGCAAAGAAGCCACTACATGTTTTCCTAAGTCTGTCACTTTCTGACATGATTCTGACAACAAACTGATTGTCATTTATATTCAGGCCTGCAGATTTACCTTCACCTAATTAAAGATCCATTAATTAAATTAGGTTAATTTTCTCCCTTTTCTTTTACAATCAGCCTCTGGCACAGAAATCTCTAATGTCTGCCGTTGCTTCCTTTTTATTTTTTAACAAATCTCTACCAAGAGCCTTGTTGTACAGCAGTACTCTGGAACTCCATTTATTTAATTCATGATGGAATAGCATTCTAACCCGACCTCTTCTTTAAAGGATCATAACCCTCTTCGATACATACAAAATCAGGTTCGTGAAGGAAAGCATTAATTTAAGCAAGTAAAACAAAATGGTCACCCATTTATGGTCTGTGTCTTATACAACACTAACAGCTTTAAAAATATTGATCAATTTGTTAAGATTGATGAATCTCTAACATTTTGATCCTAATGACTTTTTGGTCCTAAACTCTACATCCCACTCCTTCCACCACGCACATTTTAGTATCAAACCTCTGTGTATGATCTTCTTCATGTTTGTTTTATAGACCATTCATTCATTCAACAAATATTATTAAGTACTACTACACAGCATAAAAATCTAGGCATTGGAGAAAACATGACGAAAAAAGTATTCAAAAAATTTTTGGAGGTTACATTCTTTCATTCTAGTTGGAGGGAACTGACAATAAACAAAACAATTGCAATTAAAAATATGCATAGTTACAATGTCTAGGAGAAAAACTAAATTAAGGAAGGGAATGATAACCTGTGTGTATGGGGATTACATTTTTAAATATAGAGGAAACCTTAAAAGGCTTCACTGAGAAAGTGATGTTTGAATAAATAAGGTACTTATCCAGAAAGCCATGTGGATGTCCGGGGAAGATATTCCAGACAGATGGAATGGAAATGGAAATGTTCTAATTTTGGAACATTCCTGGCATCATTCATGTATACGAAGAAGTCAGTGAATGTGAAAGGGAAGACTAGAGGGTGCTGAGGTCAGAGAGATAATGTGGGTGGGAGCAGGCATGGCCAGTCGAGTGGGAGTGTCATATAAAGGATTTGGCTTATATTCAAAGAGACAAGGAAAGTTGTTGGCATCGAATGGTTTTGAGCAGAAAAGCAGTGTGTTCTAACTTATTGACATACCATTCTTTGCTTCAATAACATTATATATCAGAAAGGTCTGGAAAAGAGATACACACATATGTGTTTTATAAGGAGATTTTAAATTTTTACAGTGTCATGACATTTTAAGACATTTTCTGTGATAATTGTGAGAACGTATAAAAGGTAAAATGTAAACTCTACTTTGATGGTATAAAACAACTACAGTTGATGCACTTTGCAAATTATTTTGCAATGCTTATATATTATTAATGAAATGGCTCCTTTAGAGATATTAAATCTTAAGTGACAAACACACACATATTAACGATTTTGCCGGTATCTGCCATCTAGAAGAAAGAAGGTGGTTACCTTCTGTGTAGATCTTCCTTTGCTAGTAACATAAGTGGAAAAATAAAAAAATTATTCCCATATTCACAGTGTGTTTATATAATGTGTGTTATCAGATAGGTGTGTAATGTAAATGTAAGCTACCGTGCATAGCAAATTCTAAATTTCTAAGTTCAATTTTCACAGAGAAGCAATGGATAAACTAGTGTCTCTTGAATACTGTCTTTGGATTACTGTGTTATGAAAACGGGCTTTGGTGTTACTGAGAACTTAGTATCTGACTCATCATGCAGTCATGTATTTTTAAATTATCACATTGTATATTATTGTAAACACGGGTTATTTAATGTTATGTTTCGAACACTGGGGCACAAATAGAACATACTGTGGACACACACCCCTGTCCTTGGCAATAATGGGGTCCTTGAGATAAACCAGCTTAGTGATGTTGACGTGAGTATGCTAAAAGGTCCCTCTGCTACCTACACCAGTGACCCCATATCCTCATTCTGTCTGTAACCCTCAAGTAATTCACTTCATGAGAACTGAATTCTTTACATGGCTGGAGCTCTGACCAGGGATTGATAAAGCCAGGGAAAGATCAGTGAAAAACAGCAAAAAATAATTCCTCCCAGAATATAACCAGTTTCTTAATCAAGCATATGTCTGTTCTCCGACTCCTTTCTATGTTATTCATATACAACTGGAACTGAATTCTTTACATGGCTGGAGCTCTGACCAGGGATTGATAAAGCCAGGGAAAGATCAGCGAAAAACAGCAAAAAATAATTCCTCCCAGAATATAACCAGTTTCTTAATCATGCATATGTCTGTTCTCCGACTCCTTTC